CCTATCCCTGGCCCAAGCGAACACCCTATGCAAACCCGATCCAAATCCGGGGTTTTCCGCCCTAAACAAATCCTCAACCTTAACACCTCCGGCCCCATCTCTCCCCTTCCCCCAACTTATCGCAGTGCGCTCAAGGATCCAAACTGGCATGCTGCTATGTGTGGTGAATATAATGCTTTGATTAAGAATGATACATGGGAATTAGTACCCCCCCTCCCCCTCACAAAATATCATCACTGGTAAATGGCTCTTCAGACATAAACTTGGCCCCACAGGTGAGTTATCCAGGTATAAAGCCCGATGGGTGGTCCGTGGTTTCAATCAACGTTTCGGAGTTGACTACGACGAGCCTTTCAGCCCAGTCATCAAGCCTGCTACTGTTCGAATCGTCCTTAGCCTTGCCCTGTCTCGGGGATGGCCCATTCACCAGCTTGATGTCAAAAATGCCTTCCTGCACGGCCACCTTCAGGAGACTGTTTATGCCTGCCAGCCTTCTGGGTTTCAGGATGCCGCCAGACCCCATTACGTATGCAAACTCAAGAAGGCACTCTATGGGCTCAAGCAAGCACCGCGCTCTTGGTACCACAGATTCGCCGGCTTCATTCAGACTATTGGTTTCTGCGGGTGCAAGGCTGACACATCCCTCTTTGTCTTCTCTCACACCACGGGCACAGCATTCCTCCTCCTTTATGTGGATGATATCGTCCTCACGGCCTCCTTGGCATCACTCCTTCAGAGTCTCATCCACCAGCTCAAGACCGAGTTTGCCATGACTGACATGGGGGACCTACATTTCTTCCTTGGTATCAATGTTCATCGGACGACCACAGGGCTCTTTCTTCATCAGACTCAGTTCATACATGACATCCTTGAGCGTGCTGGAATGACTTCTTGTCGCCCCATCACCACTCCGGTAGATGCAAAGGCAAAGTTGTCCTCCACCACGGGCACATTACTCTCCGATCCCTCCATCTACAGATCCATTGTGGGTGCTCTACAGTATCTCACCTTTACTCGACCCGACATCACATATGCGGTTCAGCAGCTCTGCCTTCATCTCCATGCACCTCGCGACGCTCACCTCACTGCCATGAAGCGGGTTCTTCGATATCTGAGCGGCACCGCTACTCATGGCATCCATCTGACACCGTCCTCCACAGATTATCTCCAAGCCTACTCCGATGCTGATTGGGCTGGTTGCCCAGATACCAGACGTTCCACTTCAGGCTACGGCGTATTTTTAGGAGATAATCTTGTGTCTTGGTCGTCCAAACGGCAGGCAACCACATCGCGATCCAGTGCAGAAGCCGAATATAGGGCCGTAGCCAATGCAGTAGCCGAAACTACCTGGGTGCGCAATCTCCTTGAGCTGCAGCAACCCCTCCAGCGTGCCACTCTCGTCTTCTGCGACAACGTCAGTGCCGTCTATCTCTCAACCAATCCCGTTCAGCACCAGCGCACCAAACATGTTGAGGTAGACATCCACTTTGTTCATGACAAAGTGGCGCTTGGGCACATTCGAGTCCTGCATGTTCCTTCGTCCTCCCAGTATGCCGACATCTTCACCAAAGGACTCCCTTCACTTCTGTTTCTTGACTTTCGAGACAGCTTGGGCATCAGATCGCTTCCACATCCGACGTAGCCGGGAGCATGTTAAATATATTCTTTATATTTAATATTATTTTATTATATTGTTACCATAACTGTATCACCTTCCTACTATGTCTCTCCTACCATTATTAGGATTGAGATTCTTAGTATATATACACATGTAATCACCACAATTTATCAATGAAAATATTCTTTCTACATTGAACTCCACTCCACCACCCATTCCCTATTTGGCACACACTTTCCTTTCTTCTCTTCTTCTTCTAACAAAACTCATGCCATTATTCTCAAAACAAAAAAAAACTATCTTTGTCCCAGAATATTCATTTAATTTTGATCTTTTACAATCAGAATTGGTAAACTTTGAATTTTAATTACATAAAATGCATATTAAATATTGTTACAAGAATAATTTTATTAGATTTATCTTGCAAAATATTTTAAAAATATTATTTTATCTAACTAATATGTTACATACTCCGTACCTTTTATTATATTGAAGGTCAAAGGTGATTTATGATTGATTGCAAAAACTCAAAATTGAATAAATAATCTCGGGCAAAGGGGTAAAATAAAATTTTATTCAAATATGGTAATATTGCATAATTATCGATAGTGCTCTCTCATTGATTACCGAGTGCTTTTCTTCTTCCTTTTTTTTCCATTCAAAAATACCCTTTTTTTTCATTCAAAAATACCCTGAGTTTTTCTTTTACATTAATTTCTTTATTTTTTCAAGAGTATTTATGATTAGTTTATTATTATTCTTCTCGTACATTATTCAAATAGTCAATATATATATAGTTTGTTTGCTTTTTTCCTTACTCATTTGACAAAATAATATAATCATGTCACCTCTAGTTTTGTACATCTTTTGATACAGTTTTTAAATATTTAATTTTTATTTTTAAATATTGCGTCTACAATCAAATAAATAAGATTGAAAATATAGTCAGCCAAACCACATAACACATAATGGAAAAAACTAACTTGGAGGAAGCGAGTAATTTTTGTGGAGTGCATTTTTCTAATTTTATTTTTTCGAGTCAAACTGGATAAACTTTGAGCTTCAATTACTCCCAATTTATATTACGTATTAGTACAATAATATAATGAAATTTTTTAAGTTCTCAACTGCATAAATCTAATAAGAGTATTTTTGGACTAATATATATGTATTACTACTTTTGTTTAATTAAAACTCGAAATTCATCCTTTTTAAATTGAAAAGGTAAACTGGATAAATAGAGTAAGATATACGGAGTATTAACTATGATTGTAAAACTATTCAAGTTATGTGAGCCCCATAGCAACAATAATAATTGGGAAGTGTTATTGCCACTCGACAAATTACTTAGGGCACCCATCAATTTTTCAACTTCCAATTTGTTTTTTTCTTATATAATCTTATATATATCAAATTTTTATCATCTAACCATAGCATAATTGTCAACAATGATTCTCTACTTCATAAAATGGCCAAATATGAAATTGTTTAACAATGAATGAAATACTCTGTATTTTTTTGACAATTATGCCATGGTAAGCTAATAAAAATTTGATAACTGGACCGTTTTGAATTTAACCAGTTGACCACTTACAAATGGACTCTCATCCCTTTGATTTTTTAGAGCCAACACCTATAGGACCACGAGCCTCTGGGTATGAACTTTCAGACGTGCAATCGTGTTAAACGTGTCACAGGTCGTTAGGAGTGAATGTCTAGACGGACACCTTAACAAACGAGGTGGGTCAAAATCTACTCCGATACCATGATAGAATTTAAAATAAACCACTTGCGTATAAAAGTCAGGATCTACTATTTTAACTCAAAAGCTTAAGTTCATAAGTAGGGCAACACCCTTCTATATATGTTAGTGACATTCATCTTTATTTTCCGAAGTGGGAACTCCAGCACTCCCCCTCAAGTGGTAACTAGCTTAACCTGGTTAGCACTTAGGACAAACGGGTCTAACATCTCAGTTTCTTATAGCTAGCCCAAACAACAGGCAAAGACATTTCAATCTCTTTTTTTTATATTAATGAATTACGGAGTAGAATTTTTATTTTGAATTACAAATAATTTAGGGAGTATGTGTATTTAATTTAACAGGATAAACTGTCAGATTGCCACCAAAATATCCAAAAGCTTCTTCTAATTCCTTCATCTCCTCCCCTCTCTCTCTGTATATATATATATACACCCTCTGTTTCTTTTTCCCCCAATTCTCCTCATAGGATAAGATAAGAAATGGTGGATCAAGAATTGTCGGGTCTTTTTCCGGGTCTTCCAGAAGATTTGGGTCTCGACTGCCTGATTCGAGTTCCCTACGAAAATCTCTCCGCCATCACCGCCGTCTGCCGCGGCTGGAAGCTCGAGATCGAGCTGCCGGAGTTCTGGAGAAGACGAAGAGTTTCGGGTCTGTCGACTCGGGTCGTCGTTTTCGCCCAGGCCCAGATCGACCCGACCCGCGAACCAGTTCCGTCGGCCAAGCATCCGGCGACGCCGCGTTACGGGCTGACCGTATTTGAACCGGAAACGGGTCGCTGGACCCGGCTGCCCCCGGTTCCGGGTTTCCCCGACGGGTTGCCCCTGTTTTGCGAGATTGTGGCGGTGGGGACGGAACTTGTTGTAATGGGCGGGTGGGACCCGGTCACGTGGGAGGTCTCGCGGGCGGTTTTCGTCTACAGCTTCATCCGCGCCACGTGGCGCCGCGGCGCGGACGTGCCGGGGACCCGAAGGTCGTTCTTTGCCTGCGCGTCCGACGGGAGACGAATGGTGTTCGTCGCCGGCGGGCACGATGGGGAGAAGAACGCCCTGAAATCGGCAATGGCGTACGACGTGGCGGGGGACCGGTGGGCCCACCTCCCCGACATGGCAAGGGAGCGGGACGAGTGCAAGGGCGTTCTCGTCCGCGGAAAATTCCACGTCATCGGCGGGTACGCCACCTCGGCACAGGGCCAGTTCGGGGACGACGCGGAGGCATTCGACGTCGCCGCGTCCCGATGGGAGGCCCCGTGTGACGGGTTCCTGGGGCCCGCCCCGGGGTGTCCCCGAACTTGCGTGGGCTGCAGGGATGGAGAGTGGTATAGTTGCGAAGGCGGTGACGTGGCGAAGCGGACGGGGACAATGACGTGGCAACCGGTGACTCAGCTCCCGGTCAGCGTGCACAAGGTTACATGTGTGATGATGTGGCGGGATGACAAGATGTTGGTGATTGGGTCGGCCAGTCATAACGAGCCACATAAGGCATTCGTTTTGGATTTGAAAGGGTACACGTGGGCCGCCGTCGCCGTGCCGGAGAACTTCTCCGGCCACGTCCAATCCGGATGTTGCTTGGAAATATAAGAGTTTTTTTTCTTTTTTTTTCTTTGGGGGGTAAAAAGAGTATGTAAATGTCGGAGGGTAAAAATTATAGTGAGAATTACCTTTACACATTGGAGGGTACAAATATTTAGTTACCCCAAGAGTATGAAAACAAACTATATATGTGTGAATGTACACAATGAAGTCCTGGTTGTAATTATTTTACTTTTAGAAGTTTTATTTTCTTTTTTCCTTAATACTCATTTCCACTCCCTAGAAACATCTCCTATTGACTTTTTGAAGATCTAAATCAAGAATGTTTTTGTGTTAATTTTTAAAAAATACTCTTGATGTGATAGTAAAAATGAGATGTGATGTGTAGATTATTAGTAAACAAGTATGATGTGATAGGTAAAGTATGAAAAAATAAGGGGTAAAAATAATTTTTTTAATAGATAATGAAACATCTTATAAAAACAACAAAAAATGAAATTTTTTTTACTTTATCTTTTTTTTGTTTTACTTGATTCTTCGTACTTTAAATTTTAATGTTGTTAGAGTAAAAAAAATCATTTTGTTCCTCGGTACACTTTTCACAATATATTTTTTTTTTTGATAATTTCACAATATCTCAAATGTCTCATTCTCAATTTTATCCACCATTTTTGAATAATTAGGGAAGTATATTGTTATGGACAAATATAGAAAATAAACAATATTCTTACATCTATTAAAAGTCTATGAAGGGAGGGAGTATAAAATTATAGAATAACAGAGTTTTTTTTTCTTTGCAATTTTGGTTAAAGTGATACCTCTCTTCCTCACTCTGAATTTGGTAAACACATGAAGGTTTCGGGCCGGTTCCGGTTGTAGAACAGGAGGTTCTAGAACCACCTTACGGTCCACCGTTGGCCGGCGGTTCTACTTTCACAATCTTCTTTTTCAATTGACTTTTTGCTTTTCTAAATGTAGTATTCCGTATATGTCTAACAAAGTTGAAAAAAACAAGTAAAATCAATTATAGAACCGACCCCGGACCGGCGGTCCAGTTATCCAAACCACCGGACCGGAAGGTTCCAGTTTCAATTCTCCCCGCCCGTCCCAAAACCATCGGTTCTAGTTCGGATCCGAGTTCAAAACTAGCCCTCTTCCTACAAAACCATTTGTATTGCCCAAATTTCTCTAAGGAACTGGTCGGTCAGATGAGGGTGTGTATTGGACTCCCTAATTTTGTGGGACTCATTTTTTTAAGACTTGATAATTGTGATTGACAATTTGACATATTAAAAATGATTATCTATACTTGTACCTGATATATTAAGAGTTAAAATACTTTAATCATACTCAAGCCACTATTTCTAATGCAAGGATTGCAAGCACATTAATGTTGATCATATCCAGGATTACTAAATAAAACAAGCAAAAGCCAAGAAGATAGTAATTTGTAAGATTTGGCTTTAACTTAATTTAAGTTCAATTTATTTAAAGAATTGGTATAACATATATAATATGTATTTAAAAATTTAAAAAAATAGAATAAAATCCAAAAATGGTCTTTTATAATAAGATATTTATTAAATTCAATCATCTATATGCTCTAATTACATACATGATCTTTTATAATTGAAAATTGTTTTTTAGATAATATATCATAAATAATATTGCTCAAATAATAATTAATTAAAAGATATTTTATATTTTATTATCTAAATTTAAAATATATTCTTAAATGGTCAATTCTATACAATTAAATTTAAAATGTAAACAATGCATTGACTATATACAATTCATAAATTATTAAAAACCTATTTAAATTTTGTTTTAAATTTTAAATCAAATATTCATCTTTATTAAGAAAAAAATTTTTGGAAAAGTACTTCATTAGAAAAAATTATCTTAAAAACTTAATCTAAATTTAGCTGATGACAAATACCAAAACATCCCAATTAATCATCATTTAAATAATACTCCGTATTATTTACAAAAAACTATCTAAAAAATAAATCTTAATCATAGTGGACCACATAAATAATTAAAAATTTTTGTAAACTAATTTTGGAAAGCATTTTATTAGAAGGCCATTTTGAAAATTTACTACAGAACAAAAATTTTCCAAGACTATAATTTTCTCAAATAGATGACAAAAACAAATAAAAAATATAGTTAAAATTTGATTTTATGAATAGTAAACAGACAAATAAGATTAGAAGAATAGAAAAGATAAGATACTCCACAAAGAAATATGATAGAATCATCTCATGACAAATCTTGAGCAGCATATCCATAACTCAAAACTTTATAACTCAAAAAAACAACACAAATTGTTGGTGCACTTAAAAAGATTAGAAGACAACGAGTCTGAAAGTGAAAGGACAACCCACCCCTAAGATGTAAGGTTGGAGGACTTGTTAAGGATAACACCCTCGTATTTGACCTGGAACCACTTCATGGCATCTTCCTTGGTGACTCTGTGCTGGATACCGACACGGGACTTGCACCTTCTTCGACGTGCAACCCGGAAACCAGGACGTTCCAAGACAACATAGAAATCCATACCATAAATACCAGTTGAGGGATCATACCTGTTTCATGAATAAAAAATTAAAAAAATTATTAATAATACTATGATTAGAATGGAGCATGACTATAGTTTATACATAGTAGAGCATCACTCAGCACAACATGCATGAAATATTAGTGATAAGTCAGCATGTGGCAATGATATTCTCAATTGCCCTCTATAAGTTCTCGCTTGCTTTTTCACATAGTTTAAGAAAAAAAGTGATTCTTTCTGGGACAGCTGAAAAGGAACGCGTGTTCTTCTAGGGACGGAGGGAGTATGTGGGATGCCTTGAACATTTGCAGGCAAGAGACTACTTTAACCATGGCTAAAATAGATTGGATGCTAAAAGCTGGTATAATTGCGTCTGAGGTGGCCAAAAACATCTTCCATACCGGCACAAAGACCATCAAAATACTATAGTTAAAATATAAATGGTCTTCTTTAATGCCTTCATTCAGGCATTTTTCACCAAAATTTATGTAATTTATTAAACTGAGGGAGAACATTTTCAAAAAAACTGAAACAAATGAAGTTGGAAAACTTACTTGATTCCAAGATCAATGTGCTCCTGAATACCAAATCCAAAGCAACCAGTATCACTGAAGTTCCTCCTTAGCAGCTCATATTCCTTCACTTTCAATCCACTCTCAAGTAGTTGCATTGCTTTATCGCCTCGGACAGTGACATAGCATGCAATCTTTTCATTACGTCTGATACCAAAGGACCTCACAGTGTACCTAGCTGTTAAGGCACAAGACAACATGAAATAAGATGAAATGAAATAAGCAAATAACCAAACCGGAAAACCAGGGAGATAGGATGATAAATTAGAAATGCATCTTTTCTTGCTAAATGATCACTTATCAATAAATCAAGAGGAAAGCAGGAGAGACAACAACTCTCCAATATACTTGGCATTCAGTGTTTTAAGTTGTAACTAGTAGTGACAACTTATAAAACATAAGACACATCTATCAGAGCTGTCTACTCTTATGTGTTTATTAGAAAGAACTTTTTGGCACTAGAAATGGGAGTGATAATAATGGTATTCTCAAACAATCACAAGAACTGAGTTGAAAAACAAAATGAAACTCATATAATCTATCAGATTAATTGTCAAATGTAAAAACCAATGCATTATTAGCGCCCAACACATCATAAATTCATTTTTATGTCTTATGCGCACCAAATTTCAACAAAGGTACAATACAAATCATTTACAAGTGCACCCAATTTGCCCAGCACAATTTCATTGATAAAAGATTGCTAAAATTCTAAAACCTAGACAGTAATCAAAGAATAGAAACAACTCCACATTCCATTATCACAGCTTGTATGAACTAATGTAATACGATAAGATCATAAGAGAACCAAACTTTGGAACACGCCAGGAATCTATTAATGCTTTGGAGATGAAAATGGCAATAATAAAATCTTTTATTGCTTCATAAAAGGGCAAAAAATCTATTATTCTTATAGATGGCAGAATAGATATTAAAACAAAGTGTGCAAAGGAATCCATCTGTTGGATACAATAAAACAAATCATACCCTTGGAGAAAACAGGGGTTTGGCCACTGAGTTGCTCCAGCACCTACACAGATGAAAATAGCTTAATATGCTTGCCTAGCTGAAAGAAATGCGACGACAACAAATGCAGTTCAATAATACCTTTGCAGCTCTCGTGAGACGATCTCCACTTTCTCCAACGGAAATGTTCAGGACAAGCTTTTGGACTTTTATCTCCCTCATTGGGTTACTCAATTTCTTTTCAGCTGCCTGTTTTCATGATACAAAACAAACCCCATTGTTTAGAGAGATGTGCATTTAAGAAAATAGGAGGATATAGATATGTTGTCCAGATTAAAAACCAATATCTTATTTAAACGCTTGATTTCAAACACTTCAAAAACAATTCTAAGATTTCAAAGGCTGTAAAATAGAACTCATTCACTCATCACCAAACTAAGCCAAAATTTACTCAATCATTTTGCAATCAAATGAGACCTCACTCACGAGTCACGATGAAAGCAAAAATAGACAAGCTGGCAGAATACTTCGTATAAACCAATTTCCAAACAGAACTTTACTTGTTCAAAAAAGAGGTTCAATGTTCGATTCATTTCCTGGCAAAACTAAATGAACTGAGTCCATTTCTTGGTCAAGTGAAGCCATTCATTCATGGCAATTAGCTTTTAGAGATATTGTATACAAACACACGCATCCAAAATCCATGATAGAAACAAATAACAAACACTTCTCGAGGGATTTCTAATCAAATACGAACAGATAAACCAGATTAGAACACCATTGCGGGTTTAAACCAGTTCAATGGCGATTTATACTGCAGATTTGAGCTCCCACAAAACAGAAATAAACTAAGGACTATATAAAATGGAACCAAGCAACCAGTTAAAGCAGTATACCATCGTCGAACAATTGCTCGCGTCGTCTTCTCCTCCGGTGCGGCGTCTGCGATCTCGTGGGGCGCGACACCTCTCTCCCTCCGTCTAGGGTTTTTCGTCCCTGCTAAATGTTTAAATAATGGATCAGCCCACTAACACTTCATTATTCGGATGAGGAGGGCAAAAAAGAAAAAGAGAAAAAATGAGGGGTGATAAAACTCATAAAATGAAGAAAATAATTTTTAAAATTTATTCTTAATTTGTATAATATCTTTAAAATGTCAATTATTTTTTATTTTTGTTATATATTAATGCAATAAAATAATTTTTAAAATTTATCAACAAGTTAAATTGAATGAAATCATTTGCATGCAAATATACATTTTAGTTTTTTAATTAATTAAAATTCAAAGTTTATTCGGTTTGACTCGAAAAAATCAAACAGAATAAAAATAATGTGACGAATGTCTATTTCTCTATTGAGTGTTTGGATAAGTAAAAAATAAAAAATAAGAAAAAACAAGAAAAGGGAGATGAAATGTTCATTTTGGAAAAAAATAATGGGAGGCTAGAAGGACAAAATCATCTTTTATGCTAGAAAAAGTGTCCCTGCAATTTTCTCTCAAAGTGAGAAGAGAGAAGTTTTTATGTGAGACTTTAAGTTTTGTCTAATTTTTCTTCTCTATTTTGTGTCCAAATCAATAAGAAAAAACATGGAAATGTTAAGAAACAAAAGTGTTTTCCCTCTACTTTTTTTCTTACAATTTTCTTGTGATGCAAATGGATGGTACATGTTGAAAGTAATAAAGATTAGTAAAAAAATGATTTTATTAGATTTATTTTTTAAAAAATCATTTATTTCTATTAGTATGCAATGCAGCTTTTTATGTAATTGGCGGTAAAATAATTCATTATGAACCCTATTTACTCTATTAAAATTTCACTATATGTCGATATTTTTTCAACCTAACGATTCACAATAAGTAAATGTCCAGAAATCGAACATGTGTAAGCATCCCACGAGATCTTAGAGATGATTAAAGAGTAATTATTAAAAATACTCATCTCACTCATAAGCATTTGCTTACTTCACATATATGAAGACACACTGTAAATTTTAGGTTAACGATAAAATTTAACTCCAGAAACTAGACTTAAGAAAATGAAAGAGCCGCCAATAAAAGAAGAAGTCTTGTGCGAATGAAGTACCTTCAAAACAACTTTTTAAATAAACATTAACACTTATATAATTTTTTAGCGGTAGAAATCAATTTTGAAAACACTAAAATGAAACATATACAATTTGATTATCTTTTAAAATACTAGAATTTTTGCCAAACGGACCCTTAAATCGCTTGTGCAATTAGGTGGAGGCTTTTTCCGTTTATAGGGTTGTTAACGGATAGCCGAAAATCCAATTACCATCCGCATCCGGATCCATTTAAAGAAGAAATATCCGCATCCGTTTTAAATGGATATTATCCGTATCCGATTAAGGATATCTGATTACTAAACGGATACGGATTTGGTAATTGTATATCCGATCCGTTTAAAATCTGATCCGAATATGCATCCGTTTAAATAACCGTTTATCCGAATATCCGATCCGTTATATATAGTTTTTCCTAATTTTTTATGTTTATATTTTGTTTCTCTATTAATATTTCAAAATATAAGACAAATTTATATACAAAATAAATGTGTAGACACATAAAAATATATACAGATATTTAAAAATATGTATATATGTGTGCTGTGTATATCTTTTTATCATATAAAGTTATCGTAAAATATCATAAATCATGAAAACAAAGAAAATAATTATCCCATACCAAATTATAGTTGATTTAATAATAGTTTGACTTTAATCTAATTTAAAATTAAAGTATTGTTTAATTTGATTTTTAAAATTGGAAACGGATATATCCGATATCCGACCGATATCCGACGAATGCGGATACGGTTTTGATTTTCAATATCCGTCAAGATCCGTATCTGAATTCGATATCCGACAAAAATAAACGGATACGGATTTGGTAATGGCACATCCGATCCGATTAATATTCGTTTATACCCCTAGCCATTTATTTGTCGCTTTTACCCTTCGGCTTTTTCTTTCATACAACTACAAATTTTCCCTATTTTTTACACCAATGCTTTTATAAATATTTCATATATGAAATAGTATTTCATGTTTGATGTGAAAAATAAAGCCAAACTTAGGTCATGTTTTCTTCATATGATCTGAATGGTTCTAATTTGATTGAAATAAGTTTTGATTTGATCTGATCTATTCTAATCTGATTCCAATAAAAATAAGTAATACTTCGTACTCCGTAAGCAAAAAAATAAATTGAGAAAAACATGGGCTACCCAGGTCTTTTAAAATCTATTTCGATCTAAACCTACCAATATCAATTTGGGCCGAATCTAGGTACATTTTAGAATGGCACCAGTTTTAGGAATAAAAGAAAAAGTAGATTAAAAAAAATATTTCTCCAATATGATTGTATTGTATCGGTCCAAATTTCTCCTTCGCCATATTGACTTTGTTTGATAACAACATTTCCACTTTGTTTGATAACAACATTTTCAATTAATGTTAGATTTAAAAAAATTATGAGTAATTTAAGAAATACTATAATTATACATTGTCATTAGATAATCTTTCAAACTACTAAATACGCCATGCTAAAGTTATTGCCAAATGAGCACCATTAGCTTATGAGGCACTTCAATTTCACGAGGAAGATACTATTTCCCCTTGTCATACTATTTGAGGGAATTCGCGGGAAACAAAGTATGAAGTACATGAGTTATGTAAAAACGGAATATATGTAACCTTTTCTTATAAATGTAGGAGATCGGAGTCCATTTGGCTTATAAATCCCTCATTTATTTGTCATACAACGGATATAGAACAAGTCCTATACCTTGAACCTTTTCTTATAAATGTAGGAGATCGGAGTCCACTTAGCTTATAAACTCGTCATTTATTTCTCATACAACGGATATAGAACAAGTCCTATACCTTGAAAATGGTAGCAGTCCGTAACTGTCAAAGAACCAATTCAACCAAAAGCTCAAGCTTGTGGTTGTGGCCCAGGAACAGTTATTTATATTCTAACACGCCCCCTCACGTGCAGGCGTAGTCTTTTTCAAGCCTTGCACGTGAAACCTTAATTTTTTTAAACTGGGTGGCGCTGAGTTTCGAACTCGTGACCTCTTAGTCAACGAGGCTCCGATACCATGTCAAAGAACCAATTCAACCAAAAGCTCAAGCTTGTGGTTGTGGCCCAGGAACAGTTATTTATATTCTAACA